TGTATATTTCTCTTTAAAATATGTATATTGTTTTTAAAATATGTAAATAGGTGTTTAGATAAATTATAAGTGTCTCATCATATTATACATGTTTTAAGAGGAAATATACATATTTTTATAAAGAAATATATATATATATATATTTAAAATAAATATACATGTGTCACTCCAATCCGATATCAGGAGACTTTACCTAACATAACATTATAGGAGGAAATTAAGCAAAATAATAATAATAATAAAATAAAATAAAGAAGAAATTTTCAATAAAAGATCTGAGAGATGATATAACACAGTACGGATGACACTTTATTGTTGTTATCTCAAAAGCATGTTTACTCTTTATAATAGTCCGATGTAATGTAAGTGCATATACACCATATATTTTTGGAAAAAATCATTTTATGACCCTTTTTATTAGAAAATATCACGAGGTTTCTAATGATATTTAAAAGATACGTAGAAAAAATAATTATGGTACCTATATGATTCTTTTTGGAATATTTCCTCAAAATATTTAAAATAAAAACCTCCCCCAACACTTACGAAAAAATACAGGCCTCGTTCATTTCACCGATTCGAGTTTTCAGTTTTAAGTTTCTACAGTAAAAAGCTCTCAGAAAATATCATATTAACTTTTTTTGCTACAGTGAAAAGCTCTCAGAAAATGGCACATCTCAGCTCGAATTGAAAACTCGAATCCGCGAAGTGAACGAGGCCTTCATAAATCATGGCATGAAGCACTATTTTTACTTCACTTGTGTGTGTTTCACCATCATATCCTTTGACACGTGACTTGCTATGACGTCTACTTATTCGTGGCTTTCGTGTTAAAAATATTTCATGCAGTATAGCAATTCTGAATACAAAAATGTACAAATTATTAGTCTGAACTTTGAGTGAGTCGCGGGGTGGTTGGTTGATCGTCGGAGTGTTGGGGTAAGGTCCGAGGTGGGGCGTTACCAGTGTTGGGGCGTTGGAGGGTGTGGGGCGGCTAGGGCGACTGTGGCAAAGTGGAGCTCGAGACCGGTTGAGGGTTGGGGCGGAGTTGGGTGTGTAGGGTAAGTCGAGGTGGATATGTTATTTTAAAATTTGTTTACATCTTTCGAATGGCTTTAAAATATTTTTGCATAGTTTTCATATCTAGTATCTAATTATTTAAACAACAGCATAGTAAGAATCATTTATGTTAAAAAAAAAAAACCATCTCGAGGTATCAAATTGACATTTTCTTTTTAAATGTAAAGATACCTTTTAAAACTTATTAAAAATAAAAGTTACCAAAATGATTTTTTTTTTTCGAATAATAGAGGTAGCAAAATGATATTTTTTGTTATTTATTTTGTGTCAAATTAGTTTTAATTTTTTGCATGTATGATGGGTTTTATTGTAATTCCGCCTTCAAATCAAATGAGTCCTTAAACTTCCCCCTCTGTAAATAATTATACTCTCAATTTAGTCAATCCAGTCCCCCATTTATGAAAACATGGCAAAATATAAAAGCAGACTAATTACACCCAAATATGAGTAATGCTGGGACACTAAAACCAATCTTAATTTTGTTGTCCAATTGTTATGTATATGAGTTATCATATGATAATATTAAAATGATAATATCAAAATAACAAAATAGTGGATGTGAAAAGAAAATTAAGTATTCAAAAAAAAAAATAATATCATGAAATACTTAGAGGTGATCTTGGAGTAATAAGAATATAAAATATAAAAAAGTAAATTTACAAATTTAAAAATTACGTGGAGCGTGTAGTTAAAAAGAGTTGCGGAGGGTAAAAAAAAGGTATAAATAAAACCACTCAATATATACTTTACAAAAAAAAAAAAAAAAAAAAACCCCTCATATATGTGATTCTAAACAAAAAACTTGAATTAAAAAAAAAAACACAAATCTAATAAGTTACTGAAACCCAAAAAAAAATAAAGGAGAAGAAAAATGAGTGAAAATGTCAATTTTTTTTCTTTAAGAAAAAAGTGACATTTAGCTATGATTTTTAAGAAAGCGTCCAAGAAAATTTAAAAAGAACTCGAATTTTTGACGCAATTGTCCGAGAATTAAGACAATTAAATTTCACTAAAATAGTTTCATTAATACTTAAAGTATTGTAAGATGAAACCATAATGGAGCTTATAGTATTTAAATGAATTGCTCCTGAATTATATGTCTTGTCACAAAATGTCCCCAACTTTAATTTTAACTTTGTTTCCTTTTGAATTTTAACAATTCTTGCAAAATTTTCCTCTCAACTAAAGTTTTGAAAGAAAATGTAAGTGAAATGCAAAAACTAACAAAAAAAACTCCTCATGTTAAGATTTTTAACAGAAATAACACGTATCACATAAATAATAAGTGTCGTTGAACTATTTCATTACAAAATTAGTCTGTTAGCTCCTCCTCATTTAGTTATACATAAATGTTAGAGACTAAAATGAGATTCACTCTTATATTGGGGACCAAAAATATAATTAACCCTTATTATCTTGTTTGTAATTAACCCTTAAGAAATCTTGAAAAATATCATTTAAAAGTGCATAAATTTTAATTTTTATTCCTCACTCTCAATTAATACTATTTTTTAATTAAATAATTATATTAATAAAATGGTATTAATCAAGAATAAAAAGAAAAATTTAGACCTATATATTTTAAGGTAAATTTAATAATTTTCTCTATTTTTTTTCAAAGGATTTAGTCATCGTCTGATTCTTCTTTGGTCAAACTTAGTGGAAATATAATAATAATAACTCGGAAAAAAAAAAGAAGAAAAAGACCCAAGAAACCTTCCAGAGGATTTGGATCCTCTGTTTAATTTTTCCTGTTACAAACTGTCCAACCACTTATATTATACCATCTCATAAACAACTTTAATGGTATTTCAAGAGGTTTCTCTATTTAAACCACCGTTATCTTTACTCTGATTTCTCTTTCCTCTTTCTTCTTCTTTTTTTTTTATTTATTTTTAATTTTTTTTAATGTGTTTCTGAGTGTCTCTTGATCTTTCCTTTTTCGGATAAACATGAATTAGAAAAGCATAAAATAACTCACAAAGATTACCAATAAAAAAAAAATCGTTGATTTTCACTATTATGATACGATGTGTTATTTGTTTATATATAAAAACGTAATTTTTGTCCTTCATAATATATATATATATATATATATATATAAAGAGAAATGTGAAGGGATCAGTTTGTATTAGGTTTGTGAATTTCTCTTTCAAAGTCTGCAACATTCAACGTGAATGAGGACGTTTGGTTCATGTATTTAAAATCATGATTCAGAACTATTCTCATTTTATGTGTATTTTTTATGAGAAAAAATACTATAGAGAATCATGAATCATGATTCAGAATCAGAGATAAATACAAAAAACAAACGTCCCTAAAATCACACAGAGGACAAAAAGTTCTTGGTTTGCTCAGAAAAGAAGAAATTGAAGAGAGGAGAGAGAAGACAGAACACTTTCAAAAGTAAAGTTAGAGAGGGAGAGAGTAAAACTAACGATAGATTAAACATAGAAGTCTCATGAAACGTTTTCAAAAATTTTAAGCCGTTTATTTCACGATTTAAATTTTATCACAGTAAAAAAATTTTAAAAAATAATTATACTTAATTTTGTTATTATAATAACAAATTCTCACATAAAATTATATATCAACTCAAATTAATAAAATATTTTAAAAAATAATTATATTTAATTTTGTTATTATAATAAATTTTTTTTTACATAAAATTATAAATTAATTTAAATTAAAAACTCAAATTAATAATGACTTGTTCTTTTAGAGTTTAACTTGAGTATAATTTTTGAGTTATAACTTGAGTTGAACTTGTAACTTGAATTTTTGTTTGGTTGTATACATTTGAGTTATGGTTTAAGATAAGAATATTTTTGAGTTTGTGTTTGAGTGAGTCAAAACTTGAATTTGTATTTAGATAGTATTTTAATAAAAACTCAGAGCTGATGAAAAATTTTAATAAGGTATATGGGTCGGATTTTATTCGTCTTTTCGTTGTCAACGCATAGAAAAAAAAATCATCTCAATCAAAATTAAAACAAAAAAGTTATAGTATTTTTAAGAATAGAAAAAATAATGTTTATTAATTTGAGTTCGAGTTTTTGAACTCGAGTTAAAGGGAAAACTTGAACTTGAGTTTTAGTCCTAAACTCGAGTTTAAACTTAAAAGAACATGAACTCGAATAAAGTTGTAACTCGAGTTGTCTTTTTTTGAGTTTTTCACTCAAAAGAATAAGGGGTTGTTCTTTTAGAGTGTAACTTGAGTGTAGTTTTTAAGTTGAAGTTGAGTTATAACTTGAGTTGAAGTTAAAACTTGAATAAAGTTGAGTAAAATTAAATAAAATTAAAACTTAAAAGAACGTGAACTTAAATAAAATTAAAACTTGAGTTGTCTTTTTTTAAGTTTTTTTGACAAAAAAACATGCCCTAAGTTTTAAGTTTCTTAAATTTCGTTTATTTTATGGATTTAAATTTTTAATTTAAATTAAAATGTAATATTTTTTTAAAATTTTTTATTATAATAAAAAAAATTAGATATAATATTTTTTGAGATTTGGACAGGACATCCGAAGTCCCCTTCCATATTGGCGACTTCCAAATTGAAAGGCGGCCCTTCATGGGTCCCACGATCCCAAATCGTAACAAGAAATTCCAAAGACAACAGTCAACGGCAACCAATAACTCATAACGGCGGGACCCGCATTACATTTTTTTATTGTTGTTGTTAAAACCAAACAGTAATAGAAAAAAATATTAGCGTATATCTTTTTTCTAACAAAAAAAAGTAATAATAAAAAACCGTTCAGTTCACATTGCACGGACCATTCCTCTTCACTTCCTCATCATAGTGCTTAACTAAAAATTTGTCCGAAGCACTTCATTGACTTTTCCACTTCGTCTTCTCTCCGTTTAGCTCTTTCAATCTTTTTCAAACTTTCTTCAAAATGGAAAACCAAAAAATATCTAGAATCATTCTCCAATTCTGTTTCCTCCATTGCCCATTTCTTCTGGAAGATTGAATTTTCGCGTTTGAACGAAATAAATCCTGAAGAATTTTCTCTTTTTCTTTTTCTGGGCTTCTTTTTATGTTTCTTTTTTTCCCCTTTTATTGTAGTGGAGAATGGATGAGAAATTCAGAGAGAGCCAGTTTTCATCTGGGTTTTTGGTAAAAAGAATGGATAGAAGAAGAAGAAAAGGAATTATTTTGAGAGTTGAGGAAGCTTTGGAGTTGCTCAACGATGTTGTAAAGGAGAAGCCTTTTCTTCCATTTGTGATTCCTTTGGTTTTGGTTGCTTGGGGCATTGAGAAGTGGATTTTCTCTTTCTCCAATTGGGTTCCTGTTATTGTTGCTGTTTGGGCAACTGTTCAGGTGAGTAAAAGAGTTTCTTTTCTTCTTTCTGTGATCTGTCTCTCTTTCTGTTGTTATTTTTTTTTCTGAATTTATTTTTTTTTTCATTTTTATTTTTGTTGATATTCATTCTTACTTTTTATTGGGACGTGGGAATTGAATATCTTTGGAATATGTGTACTTTTTGTTTTGGAAGTTGGAGAAGGGCAATTGGTTTGATTTGTTTGATGCATCGAAATTGACAGCAGCATGTGACAATTGGTTTGAATTGTTGATCATTTTTTTTTGTTACTTCTTTTTGAATTTCTTCTCCCATTTCAGTGTTGTGATTTGCTTTTTGTCCTTTTTTTTTCTAATTGTGATGAACCATTTTTTTTTAACATGTAGAATGAATTGTGGCTTTTCTCTGTGTCAATTTTCTTTTTTCTTCTTTTAGTTATAATCTCCCATTCTGCTTTTTCTTTCTTTGAATTCCCTGTTCAACTTTTTTGCTTTTGTTTTAATTTTTTAATTTATTTATTTCATGGGAACTTGCCTATGTTTGTTTATTCATAAGCTATGAGGAAAATATATCATGTCCCAAAGAGGGTCTTGTTTTACAGTTCATGATCATCTATATCATGTTCCTGAAGAGTGATTAGTTCTTGATATTTAAATTTGAAAATTTGCATTGTAGTAACGTGTGGTATCACTCTTGCTATTGCAGTATGGGAGTTATCAACGTCGAATACTTGTCGAAGAATTGACTACGAAATGGAAGCGGCTAGTAATGAACACCTCGGTAACTTACTCTTTCTTGTGCTCTCTCTCTTTTTCATTAGTCTGACATTTGAGCTTTAGTGACCTAATCATGTCTTGATCCTTTCATTCTATATACTGTATAGCCCATAACACCATTAGAGCATTGCGAGTGGCTGAACCGGCTAGTGACAGAAATATGGCCGAACTACATTGGTCCAAAGCTCTCAACAAGGTTCTCATCCCTTATTGAGGTAAGAATCTTTTCCCCATTATTCAGTATCGACTTTCCGTTGGGTTAGTCTGACATTTGCTTATTTTGTGCTCAATGTTTTAATGTTCTAGATGAGATTTTGCACAAGGTTAGAAAATTCAGTTGGCATTCTTAGGCCCGGTTTAGGATGGTTTTCAAAGAAGTTCTGCCTTTATTTGTAGCAAAAGCAGAAGCGGAAGTCAAAAACTAACTAAAAAATATAGCTTTCTCAAAATAACTATAAAGGGCTGCACTATTATCAAACATGCAAGTGTCATTGTTTTATGTGCATAGTGCTTTTTTGGACTGCAAATGTAATCCCTAAGTGGCCCTTAATCTGAATTACATAGGACTTAGTAATAAAGAGGAGCATGTCCTTGTACATCTCGTCCTTCTTTATGGACTTTTAAGCAGAAGATATGGAGAATGATTTCTGTAATGTTAGAGCCATTATCACTCTATGTATTATAGTTGCTCTCTCTCTCTCTCTCTCTCTCTCTCTCTCTCAAATGATAGGGGGTTTTAACTCTTAACTTTTTTCAAAAGCTGCATAGATTTCATTTCATCATGGAAAATTGCTCTTGTGAGATATGCTACTTCCATTGCTGTGTATTGTTATTCTTGGGCCTTCAATAACTTTCTTATACCTCTATGCTGTTTGTTGAATTCTCTGATGTTATTCAATTCTCTCTCATTTGGAACTTATTGAAAGTTACTTACCAAAATTTCTAGTGCGGAAAGAAGTTGATGACCTGACGTAGTTATTGTCACCAGTTTTCGGTGCTTTGGCGTGATTCAATTTGTTTGTCAAAGACGACTTGCATTAAGCTTAATGGATTAAATTAACTAGTTGAACTTTGTTATTGTCTGCAGAAACGTCTAAAGCACAGGAAATCAAGACTTATAGTAAGTATTACTTATTTTCCTGCTCTCTATTCTATTTTTCTTTTTAGAAAAGAAAAGTCTCTATTTCAATGCTTTTCTCTCTCTGATTTAGTTTTGAATTTTTCATTTGATGCTCACTTTATGGCATCATGCCACACTAAAAGATAACTTATATTATATAGGAAAAAATAGAGCTGCTGGAATTTTCACTAGGTTCATGCCCACCTGGCTTAGGTCTGCAGGGGACTCGTTGGTTGACTTCATTTGATCAGGTTTGTTTTTTATTTATTTATTTTAGACTATTAAGCCTATCTTAAAACTCACATTGAAGTCTTTGCCTACATTCGTTATTTTTGTGTGTGTTATCATTACTTGCTCAATTGTATATGTGCTATATTTCGTGCAATGATATGAACTTAATTTCTTAGATTTTCACTTTTGTGGGCTTTTGACAGCGAATCATGCGTTTGGGATTTGATTGGGACACAAATGATATGAGTATTTTGTTGCTCGCTAAGCTGGCCAAACCATTTCTTGGGACTGCACGGATTGTTATAAATAGTCTACATCTTAAGGGTGATGTATGTACGGTTGCTTCTTTAAATTTCTTCCATATAAGCAGTCATGTATGCGTTGTTTTAAAACTTGCTGAGTGAATGCTATATCTGTTATTGGCTGAATGATAAGAGTATCTTCAATACATTGTTTTAACATTTAATTCCCGCGTTTGTTTCACTGGTTTAATCTCAGTTCAACTCAGTTTAAACAGTAAGCACAGTTTAAACTCGTGTTTGGTAAGCATGCAGTTCGAATTATATTCTTCGTTTGAACTGAGTTAAACTGTCCAACTAGCCTCGTTCAATTCACCGATTCGAGCTCAGGTGTGATTTTATGTGAGAGCTTTTAACTATAGCAGAAAAAGTTAGATGTGACTTTTTGTGAGAGCTTTTAACTGTAACAAAACTGGAACTGATAACTCGAATCGGTGAAATGAACGAGACATTAGAGTTTAGCTCTCCCCTTTAGTTCAATCAAACCATTTTTGAACAGTAAAAAAGTTTACTCTTTGCTTTTCACACCTGCCAAACACGAATTCGAATTTTATTCCTTATTCAGATCATAATTTTAATTGCACATCTAAAAGTGAATTCGAACTATAATTTAAACCACACAGTTTGAATTTTTCTGTTCAAAGAAAAACGTTTAGATCACACCAGCGAACCAAATATGGGAAATATTAGTTGATCTTTTCTATGGGTAGCCCCAAATCTACCTATTATCCAGCTTTGAGGTCACCATGATTCACGTTTTATTGTTTTGTGTTTATGTTAGCATGGACATTTTGTCAATGCCTTTTGTAGCTGTCTCTTTTGTTTGTAAATTATTGTATGAGGTGAGGTTAAAGGATTAGGCAGGGAAACCACTCTTTGATATGTGTCGCCAGCATGTTTAAATTTATAAAGCTGTTTCCTCAAAAAACAGATTACTATAGTTCACTGTAATTTCTCCTTTTTGTAACCATGCATCTAATAGCTTTTAGTTATAGGTATCTTCATTTTCTTTTTCTTTTTTCTTTTTTTCTTTTCTGACTGTTAATTGATACTATGTTCTCTTAAATTAAAAAAAAAAAAAAAAAAAAAAAAAAAAAAAAAAAAAAAAAAAAAACTTAATTACAATGTACTTTTAGTTTTGTGGTTTCTTGGATCTCCACCGTTGCATCTTGGATATAAAGATGAGATGTTGCTTGATGGCCTTGATGGTTTTTGTATCACTTGGTAGGCTATTACCACCATCCCATAACTTTTACTAAATTTATTTTGCAGCTTCTGTTGATGCCCGTTCTTAATGGAAAAGCGGTACTCTACTCGTTTGTATCGGCTCCTGAAGTGAGAATAGGAGTTGCCTTCGGAAGCGGTGGGAGCCAATCATTACCTGCCACAGAGCTGCCTGGTGTTTCTTCTTTTCTGGTGCGCTTCTTAAGCACATAAAATTTGTTTAGACAACATTATATTTGTTCCTATGTAGAGTTTTGTAGAGTTTTCATCTTTAAAATATATTCACATTGTTGCTAATACAGTGAATAGTTATCTAGCGGCTATCGTATTCTATTTATGTAACATGCACCTTATTCTAAATTTCCATACCACCATACCATCACGATGATACATTAAAATAGGCATAATACCTGCTAATGAATTTGCAATTTCAGCTTCTCATCCGTTGTTCTAAAAGGTCATTTCTTTCTCTCATAGGTTAAAATTTTCACTGACACCTTGGTCAAGACAATGGTTGAACCCCGCCGGCGTTGCTTCTCTTTGCCAGCAGTGGACTTACAGAAAAGGGCTGTTGGTGGTATTATATATGTGACAGTCATTTCAGCAAGTAAACTTTTTAAAAGTAACTTGAGAGGAAGTCCATCCAGAAGGAATGAGAATCCTTCTGATCGAAGTTCAGAAGAGCACTTGGTTGATCACGATTTGCAAACATTTGTTGAGGTTGAACTTGCAGAGTTGACTAGAACAACCAATGTGAGAACGGGGTCATCTCCTAAATGGGATTCTACATTTAATATGGTTTTACACGACGAAACAGGAATTCTTCGATTCAATCTTTACGAGTCTACCCCAAGCAATGTGAAATATGACTACTTGGCAAGCTGCGAAATTAAGGTACTAGCGATTTCCAATTCTGTCCATGATTAAATTTCATGGTCTTTGCTATTTGGTGTTTTGATACTAGTCAGTGTTTGGGGGTGCAATTTGTTGTAGATGCAATTCATGTTATACATGTGATACGCACTTTTTTACTGACAACAGTACACATCACATCATCTAAATAGCTGAGTAACAAATAAAAATGCAGTTGTCTACCAAATACGCTTCTCATTTTGAAGCACAATCTCTCAACTAGGCCTTCATTCAGGGTAGTAGTACAACAAATGCATTGCTAACTATTCAGTGCTATAAAATTTTTGCGGTCGTACATTCCATTAGTCAGAATATGTTCTCTCTACTTCAGTTTTCACTGGTCAACTAAGTTTTTTCTCCCTATGAGCAGCTGAAGTATGTGAAAGATGACTCTACAATGTTTTGGGCAATAGGACCGGACTCCACTGTGATAGCCAAGCAGGCTGACTTTTGTGGAAAGGAGGTTGAAATGGTTGTTCCATTTGAGGGGGTCAGTTCTGGGGAGGTAACCTTTCAAAACTTTGTGGAAGCTGTGTCTATAAAGTAGTTGCATTTTTGTGAAATTTGTACATATTTACAGTTTAACAAACTAAAAGCTCCTTCTATTATCTGGTTAGGTTTGTTTTCTCAGATAAAAACCAGTTTTCAGTGGATTATCCTTTCATTCAGACCTTTGCATAGTTCTTTACTTTTCTTCAGAAAAGAGGGGGGGAAAGAAACAAAATAAAACATATTTTCCACTGTGCATGCCACCGAATCGGAATTTACTTCAAAAGTCAAAACTCATAACTTTAAAGCAGTAACTTGTTCTGTCTGTTACTGTATGCCTACCAATAATATGTATAGATTCATTGTCTCTGTGTGTGTGAGTTTATGTATAAATATGGTTGTTATTACTAATTCTTTCAGCACTAAGTTTTTTCTTCGATGGATCTCGCAGTTGACAGTTAAGCTCGTCTTAAAAGAATGGCAATTTGCTGATGGTTCACATAGCTTGAATAACTTCCGCCTTAGTACTCAACAATCATTATATGGATCGTCAAATTTTCTCTCAAGAACTGGAAGGAAAATAAACATAACTGTAATGGAAGGAAAGGATCTTAATATGAGAGATAAATCTGGGAAGTGTGGTCCATACGTCCGATTGCAGTATGGAAAGGTACATTTTTTTTTTCCTTCATAACACATGCCAATGTATGAACGAAGATCTTGGGATATTTATGAAACCAGAATTATGTAATATGACACCTTGTATATGCTTGAAACTTCTCTTCAGGCCACTCAGAGAACGAGAACGGCGCGTGCTTTAAATCCTGCCTGGAATCAGAAGTTTGCATTTGATGAAATTGGAGGGGGTGAATACTTAAAGATAAAATGTTTTAGTGAAGAAACCTTTGGTGATGATAACATTGGTAGTGCGCGAGTAAACTTAGAAGGACTCATAGAGGGGACAGTCAGGGATGTGTGGATCCCTCTTGAAAAAGTCAATTCGGGTGAACTAAGGCTTCAAATAGAAGCAGTTAGAGTTGAAGACTCTGAAGGAGCAAGGGTATGGATCATTAAACATAAGTTGGATAAGTTTTCCTTCTATTTGATTGGAATATACCAACAATTGAGTGGAAACCGTATTCAGTGTTCAAACACTCTTTAGCCTCACCTAAATAGCTGAAAAATGCTAATTGACTTAGTCAATGTGTGAGATTGTCTCTACTACTATTCTGTGTTGGCGGTTAATGTTTATTTAGACAAAATTGACTTCTTCAATATGCTCTTTTTTTTCTTCACCTTTTTTTTACTCTTCCTTTTCCGTCATATGTTCAGGGTTCAGCGATGGCCTCAGCAAATGGATGGATTGAGCTTGTTCTCATTGAAGCAAGAGATCTTATTGCAGCCGATCTTAGAGGGACAAGTGATCCATATGTTAGGGTTCATTATGGGAGCTTGAAGAGAAGAACGAAGGTTTGTAACATTTTACATCTTCCATACATGATACAATGATGAGCCTCTAGCACTTGAATATTCCCAGTTTTTCTCTAGTGACGATTTGATGACTATTTTTAACAAGATATAGTAGTTCTGAAAGTTTGATTGTGGGAGAAAAATCATATTAGTAAACAATTGACTCGAAATTCCTCATCTAACCTTTACCACGAGAATAAACTCTGAGACGTAACATAATGAACTGTCCACAAGCTAATTCTTTTTTGAGAAAGATTGGTGAATGATGTTTAGAATATTTTACTCCTGTTGATTCTTATTTAAACGAAAAGCTAATCGGTTATCAAACATTCTGGAGCTACAAATATGGTCATGCATAAATGTTTTTTGGCTTTCTAAATAGTTTGTTTTGCCTAATCTTGCGTTGTTTAAATATTTACTTATTGTGCCATAATTTACCTTGCAGATTATGTTTAAAACTTTGAATCCAAAGTGGAATCAAACTCTAGAGTTTCCAGATGATGGAAGTCCCCTAATGTTGCATGTCAAAGACCACAATGCTGTACTCCCCACAGCAAGTATAGGTGACTGTGTCGTCGAATATCAGAGATTGCCTCCGAACGAGATGTCTGATAAGTGGATACCCCTGCAAGGGGTGAGAAGGGGGGAAATTCATATTCAAATTACAAGAAAGATTCCAGAACTACTAAAGAGGACCAGTTTGGATTCTGAACCATCCTTAACAAAAGCACACGAAACATCTAGCCAGGTGAGATGCATTATTATTATTATTATTTTAATTTGTTTTCCTTTTCTATATTGCCAATAAGAGCTTAGGGAAGCAAGAATTTAAAAACCAGTAAAACTATATATATTACTTTATTGATACAATTATTAATTCATTTATCTTACAAATTCAGTGTGAATTCAAGTTGAGCACAATGCCTAGGCTCTACGGAAATATTGACAATTTCTAGAATTGCACATCCATTCTAAATAGGTTTCAAGATGCATTTTTGTTTCTTCGCTTTCTTTTTTTCTTTTTAGCTCCACGCTCTTCTAATTAACAAATTCAGCTCACATCGAAGTGTTCAAAGGAGCCAAGTCCATATGGTTGATTATTTCTCTCATTCTGCACCTAGATTTGATTCCTTAACTCTCTCGTCCGATGTTTTTCGCCACCATCGATGTTTAAATCCAATTTTTTTGAGAGGTGGGAGTTATGTAGGGAAGTTTTTCATCATTAGACTTACAATTTGCAGACTAGGTAGTACGGATTAGTTATCGAGTTGATACATGTTATATTCGCTCATATCTAACCTTTTGTTTTTGCTGACAATGCTGGTCAGATGAAACAGATGATGATCAAGTTCCAGTCTCTCATCGAAGATGGCAATCTCGAAGGAATTTCGACATTGTTGAGTGAATTACAAAGCCTTGAGGACGTGCAAGAAGATTACATGGTTCAGCTTGAGACCGAGCAAACGCTTCTTCTAAACAAGATAAATGAACTTGGTCAGGAAATTCTCAACTCATCTCCTTCCCTAAGCAGAAGATCATCGGGAAGTCAAAACTAATTCCTTCATGCTATTTGTATCCTTCAGGGATATTTTCGCATTCACAGTTAACCTCTAAAGATATAGTTCATATACATAGTTTTCCTACTACATAGTCCTTGAGCTAATCTTGTAGCCAAGAAAAAGAAGTCCTTAAGTTAATGTCATGTTTTTGCTGCATATTTGTACACGGATGCTTGTTTAAATTCTTTTCTTTTTTTTTTTTTTTTTTTTTTTTTAGAAAAAAGGGGGTTTTTAAAAAAAAAAAAAAAAAAAAAAAAAAAATAGGGTGATTTATGTCCTTGCAGTGTTTTATGGGCCCGTTTGGCATATTATTTAAATCTATGATTCTGATTCTATTACAATATTTTTCTCTCACAGAGAATTTGAATTCAAAAAATTCTCACCAATGATTTTCTCACAAAGTTTCCAGCACTGAATCAGATTCACCGACTTAAACGCGTGAACCAAATGGGCCCTATGAAACTAAGCATTATGTAGATTCAATTGTAATTAGCTACATTGAGTATACTCCAACAGAGGTTATGTTATACAATCCTATGATCAATAAAATCTTGATGAGGCAATTAACTATTTGTACTGGTGGCATGATCGGAAAATAATATATATGCATATATATATATATGTACGTATATGTATGACATGCACTATCGAGATCCACTTCAAAGATCAGACTGAGAATGGTTTTGGGAAAGAAAATAATACCTGGTCCCTCGTTTTCCAAAATCCAAAGTACCACATTGGAAAACCGCTCCAGATTTTCTTATGGGACAAGTAATCTCTAATTTTAAGGAATTGTATCCCCCAACTTTCATCTTGGTACAAGCAAGCTCCTTTGATGCAATCTCAAGATTATTCCTATGTGAACCGAACGATATAGATCTTTTTGAAATTCGAAATCCTGGACCGGAAAGTGCCCTAGTGATCGACATTAGGACAATTGTTTAGGAAGAGATGAAAATTCGAGCATCAAATTCTTTGAACAAATTTTCGAAACTAGACAAATTGAGGGAAAAAAAAGTGAACGATGACTCTGCGAAGAAACGACTTTATAAACAAAGTTTGTAGTATTAGGGATTTAAATTGAATAGGTATTTTGTTTTCTCACATACCACTATACTTTTTTTTTTTTTGGTTTAGTTTTGCTATTTTTTTTTTTTTATGGTTTTAGGTTTTAGGGTAGTTTTATGTTGTATGTTTGTAACAATTTTTTTTTCTTTTATTATTTAATACATTTGTCACGTATTAAAAACTATTCAAAAAAATAAGAACAAGAAAAATCTCCAAAACGAAACAAAACAAAATAATTGAAATATTAAATCATAACTGCAACAGGAACAAAACACATCCTCAGGTGAATTAGTGATTTAGATTTCAATGTGTTCCTTCCTCTTTTTTTTTTTGGTTTAGATCCAAATGGTGATTTAGATTTGAATAAAAAGAATATAGGAATGCAAGGTACTCGGATGAGAGTTCTTTTTAAGTACTATTATTTAAACAATTAGTATTTCTCCTCAATTTTTCCTCCACATCCTATCCACTTTTACCATTTTATTCTTACTGAAGAGTGACATGCTAGTCACATGAGCATTTCTATATACAAAAAAAAAAAAAAAAAAAAAAAAGTGATTGGCACTAAGAAAAGGAGATAAATACCTTTTTAAAGTGTATGGGTCTCAAGTTTTACCTCAATATTCTTGATTAATATTATTTTTAGTTAAATAATTATATTAGTCAAAAGGAATTAATTAAAAGTAAATGGTAAAAATCCATATTTATGCACTCTTAAGGTAAGTTCAATAATTTTCTCTTGGTGGTGGTGCTATTAGCCTTTGAACTTTGAGTGTAGTTATACTTTGGTCACTAGATTTTTAATTTTGACATATTAGTTATGAACTTTTATTTTTTTTACAGCTTTAGTCCCTTACAGTAAAATTGACGAAAGATTTCTGAAATTTAATAAAGATAATCATGCATCTATCGCATGAAATTTAAATTTTACAGAAAGAATTATGTTATACTCAAATTTTTCTTTTTGTCAATATTAAAACACGTTGAAAACTATAGCATTTTACATTTATTGTAACTATTTACGTAAAATTTTCAGTTGTTACGCAATAATGAAGTAATTATATACGTTAAATTTTAGAAATAGTTTGTTAATTTTAGTGTCAAGATCAACACTGTTAAAAAAACTAACATGTCAAAATTAAAAGTTTAAGGACCAAATAATCACCATAATTAAAATTTAGGGAGTAACAGGGCCAAATCGCAAAAAAAAAAAAAAAAAAAAAGAAAGAAAAACTTAAATAAATTGTGACTTCGATTATGTTTAATATAGAAAAAGTTATTTACATTTTTACACCATGTGTTTTATGTTTATTCATAAAGTATACTATCGGTTTTTAATCTCATCAATAATATACTTTCAAGTTACAATATATATATATATATGTATATATCTATACATTTTTCGGTAACTTGTAAAATACCCAAATGATTCTTATAGGGACTTTATATATGACACATATCCTTGTTTACAAACAATTACGCGATCCCCTTCCAAAAGATAATTTAGTCATTTCACAAGTTAAAATCAATTTTTTAGTGAGAAAATTTCTAAATTTATTTATTAACTGCAATTTGAAGATACTTTCTCAATAAACATAAATACATGATATAAAAAGATAAAAATATAAAAAGGAGACTTTCATGATAGAAACTGTCTTTAACTACTAGTATATTAGTCATTAGATTAACTTTTTTAACTGTTTGTTTCATAATTAGATACATAAGTGTCAAGTGTCGTAAAGTTTTATCATGAAAGCTTACAAATCAGATTGTTGAAAATAAATCTAACAGCTAAAATAATAATTCTTATCGATAGGAAAAAAGAAACAGTAGAAACTGTAAATATTTCCAGTAAAAATTAAAATTATAGGCTAAAATGAAACAAAAGCTAAAGTTGAAAGACCATTTATAAAATTAAACCTTTATTTATTTGTGTTTTGAGAGTTTTTAACTTTTTTTAGTGTTAAGAACGGTTATTTTAGCCGTTAAATTAAGCTCTTAATGCATAGATTTCATAATGTGAACAGTTCCATATGAAATGGGTGAAAAATTATATCAATAAATAAAACAAGAATTCCTATTGGTATTAAAACAATGATAATTTAATTCTACTACTTTTCCCCCTTTCTACCAATAACTACGTCATAAAAAAATAAAAATAAAAAATAATAATAATAATAAATCCTCCTAAGTTCCGACGAAAATCTTATCATCTCATTCTCCTGCCAACTGAAAAACAACACAAACTCGAACAAACACACCAGCATACATCACCGTCTTCTCCAACTCTCCCGCTATGAAACTCAAACCTCAACACCACCACCACCGCCATTAACCCAAACCACACAACAACCTTAACAACATAAAAAACAACTACAATGGCGGCCTTTACAGTCACGAAATTCTCGGAGCTTCCACTGAGGAACTCACTTCCTCTGACTTCTCACTCTCACTCTCTCAACCTCCTCATCTCCTCCTCTTCCCCAAACCCCTCCTTTCACATTCTCAAGACCTTTTGCTCCGTCAAGACCACCGAGCGTTCTTCTTATCCTTGGAAGGACCAAAACCCTAAGCCCTCCTCCTCCTCCTCCTCCTCCTCTCACAGACACAAACCTCCATCCGCTCCGTGGCTCAACAAGTGGCCGCCGGTCGAATCGTCCGACCGGAAAGTCGCCGAATCAACCGACCGCGATAGAACTGATCGACCGGATACCGTCGGGTATGTGGACAGAGACCGAGGGCGTAATGCCATTGAGAGAATTGTTCTTCGCTTACGGAATTTAGGTAATGAATGCACTTTGAGATTTTGCACTTTTAGGAATTGTATTGAGATTATTTATGTTATTTCATTTTGATAAAGGATTATCATGTGTGTGCTCAGAATTTTTTTTTCTTTTTTTTTTTTTTTGTCTCGGTAATCATTAGTCTCTTTAAAGTCTAGCTTTGATTGATTTTGTTTTAATTAATTTATTAATAGTCTCTAATTTTAGCTTGTTTAGTAATTTCTACTATAACCAACTCCAGACCTACTTCTCAAATTCTGCTGCCCAGCAGCAGCTTTTAGAATCAGCTGGACAAAAACGGGGTTTACCAAAACAATCTAAAAGCAATCTCCAGTCCCCACCAAACATGTGAAATGGGCCCGAGTGTTTCTTGATTATGTTAAGCACTAGAAGACTTCCGTTCATTCTTTCTTGGTCCTGCGTCATTAGGGCTTGGTTCGGACGATGAGGATGAAGATGACAAGGAAGGCGATATTGGCTTGGATGGTCAGGATGCAATGCCGGTGACAGGAGAGGAGAAGCTGGGGGATCTGTTGCGAAGGGAGTGGATTAGGCCAGATTTTGTGTTGGAAGAGGAGGAGAGCAAGGACGATTTAACATTGCCATGGGAGAGAGAAGAGGAGGAGAAAGGTGTAGACGAAGGGACGAGAGAGTTGAGGAAGAGAAGGGTGAACGCTCCAACTTTGGCTGAGTTGACGATCGAGGACGAAGAGCTGAGGCGGTTGAGGAGAATGGGGATGTTTCTAAGAGACAGGATCAGTGTGCCGAAAGCAGGGCTTACACAGGCGGTTCTTGAGAAGATTCACGACAAGTGGAGGAAGGAGGAGTTGGTGAGGCTTAAGTTTCATGAGGTGCTCGCACATGATATGAAGACTGCACACGAGATTGTTGAGGTTTGTTATATTTTTTCAATTTTGGTTCTTTCTTTTGTGTGTGATGTTGTTTCTTTATTGCAACTGATATGAAATAATAACTAAAAGAGTGTTCTTTTTATAGGTTTGAATAGAAAATTTGAACTGAAATTTAAATTTTTATGAGAGGAAACATCGTAGTAAAAAGGTTGATTTATGATTCAAAGCTATGAAAAGAACGGGGCCTAAACTATTTGATGCATCTCCAATTCATTACTTTGAACAATGTGAACGTTGTTGGCTTGCTATCACTGGAATTAATAAATGTCACTGGAAATATCAGCAATGTTGACCAGTAGAAGTTTAACGATTGAGTTGGGATACTCTTCTCATCTCGAGATACTTTTTTCTTCCTTTTTTTTTTTTGATGATTTACCTTGCGTGTGTATTTTCTTATATGTTTCTTGGTGATTCTTTCAATCTTCTTTCAATGTTTACCAGAACGTGATTTGAGCAACACAGTTTCAACCATGTAAGGAATGTTCTTAAATGGATTTTGTTATAGAAGTGGCAGATACGAGAGATTTTTTTCATTTTCTTTTCTATTGGATGCCTGCTTTTCCTTCTTTACGTTTTCTTTTTCTTCGTTTTAAGTAGTGTATGTCATGAAATTTTTAAGATCCCACGTACTTGATGGCCTCTAAGTTTTAGCAGGGTAGTCTGAGGCCTTCCATTGATGCAAGTTAAAATACAATAAGGAACTTTTTCCGTGGGTTATAGCTTTTTTTACATCAATGTTTATATTTCCTGGTGATGTTAGGAAATAAATTGCATGAAACGAATGGTGCTTTTAGATGAACAGTAGGCTATTTCTGGGCTATTTTGTCCCCCTTCACGTGCTTGCATACTTACAGATGTTATATTTCTTAACTTTCACTACTTGTTATTTGATCCTTTTTTTTAATAAAAAAATACAAGTGACAAATACAAGTGGGATATTTAACTGACTGCTTGTAGTGATGTCAGCGTCGGACAGGAGGACTGGTTACGTGGAGGTCAGGAAGTGTTATGGTTGTGTACCGTGGGAGTAACTATGAAGGGCCTCCTAAAACCCAACCAGTTAATAAGGAAAGAGATGCTCTTTTTATCCCAGATGTTTCTTCTGCTGAAAATTTCCTGACGAGAAGTGGCGATAGTCTGACTTCAAATGCTGAAAAGAGTGAGACGCCTGTGAGAAATCCAGTCTCCGTTCAGAACATGACAGAAGAGGAAGCTGAATTTAACAGTCTACTGGATGATTTAGGTCCTCGCTTTGATGAGTGGTGGGGTACAGGAGTAATTCCGGTTGATGCTGATTTACTTCCCCCAAAGATTCCCGGATATAAAACACCTTTTAGACTTCTTCCCACTGGAATGAGATCACGTCTGACCAATGGAGAGATGACTAATTTGCGGAAAGTTGCCAAATCACTTCCTAGTCATTTTGCCCTTGGTACCTTTCTATTCTACGAGTCCCCTTTGTTTAGCTTTTTGGATTATATAAAGCTCTGACATGAAATTTCATCCTAAACTTCTTGATTAAGGGAGAAATAGAAATCATCAGGGGCTGGCAGCTGCCATTATCAAGCTTTGGGAGAAAAGTTTGGTTGCAAAGATTGCTGTCAAACGAGGCATCCAGAATACAAACAACAAACTGATGGCAGAGGAGCTAAAGGTAAGCAATATATTGGTTCTATCTAAATACATTGGCATTAATGTGTGTGTGTGTGTTTTTTTTTTGTTTTTTTTGTTTTCTTGTTGTTATAGTTTCTATATTTGCTTACTTCTATGTTGTGTAGACTAGTCTACTATATTGTGACTATACATTCAGAATTACACATGCCTATAAGCAATACAATTGATTGCTTTTCCCCTGTAATTTCTGTTTGAAAAACTTCATCCTCATTTGAAAGAAAAATACTTATTCAGTTATGCTTGAATTTAGATGTGCTTAAACAAGTTGTGTAAACATAAATGTATTTCGTATTGTTAAGTCCTAATCATTTGCTAAGTATCATTAGAATTTCACCTCTGAAGCAAACTTCGAATGCTCGATAAGTAATGGTTACCAATCACATGTTGTGACATTTCCTGATGGTTTGGAGCATTATTAAATAATGCTAAGCATTATCGGATAAACAAAGTTTATATAGGTTGTTGAACATTTTCTCTTTTAGTTTTTAGGGTACACTATGGTCTTTCAGTTGTTGCTTGATCAAGCCAACAACTAAAACGTCCTGTCTTAACTTTGCAGAACTTAACAGGTGGTGTCTTACTGCTCAGAAACAAATACTACATTGTCATATACCGAGGAAAGGACTTTCTCCCAACAACTGTAGCTGCTACTTTGGCTGAAAGACAGAAATTAGCAAAACAGGTTCAAGATCTTGAAGAGCAAGTGCGGGTTCAAGATATCGAACAGAAAATGCAAAAGAAAGCAGTGGATTCAGTTCCATCAGGTGAAGAGGAAGGGCAGGCACTTGCAGGTACATTGGCTGAGTTTTATGAGGCTCAAGCCAGATGGGGAAGAGAAATAACTTCTGAAGAACGTGAGAAAATGATAGAAGAAGCAGCCGTGGCTAAGCATGCTAGACTCGTCAAACGAATTGAGCATAAAGCAGCTGTTGTGAGTATTCTCTGTGTTGGCATTCTTACATGATAGTTTACCACTCAAGTCACAGATACATGACTTTGTTTCAAGGAAAAAGACAAGAAACTTTGTTTAACATTAAACTCTTTATCAGGCCCAAGCGAAGAAGCTCAGAGCAGAGAAACTCTTGGCTAAGATAGAAGCATCCATGGTTCCTGCAGGTCCTGATTATGATCAGGAAACAATTACTGAAGAGGAACGGGTTATGTTTCGCAGGGTCGGTTTAAGAATGAAAGCATACTTGCCTCTTGGTACGCAGTGCTCAGTTCTTGGAATGAAGGTATTATTCTTTTTGCTGAAATACTAATGTTTTTTTGTACTATAATGTGCAGGAATACGTGGCGTCTTTGATGGCGTCATTGAGAACATGCATTTGCATTGGAAACACAGAGAACTTGTTAAACTAATAACAAAACAAAAAACCCTTGCGTTTGTGGAAGATACAGCTAGATTATTGGAATACGAGAGTGGGGGAATTCTAGTGGCAATAGAAAGGGTTCCCAAAGGATTTGCTCTTATTTACTACCGTGGAAAGAATTATCGGCGACCGATTAGCCTGAGGCCAAGAAACCTTTTGACAAAGGCAAAAGCATTAAAGCGTTCAGTGGCCATGCAGCGCCATGAGGTTTTTTCTTCTATATCATTTTTCTTCACATGAAAGCTAATTCTTTTATATAAATCTGTCACATATTCCTCATTTCCCATAAATTTGAAATGTATCCTGTAGGCCCTCAGTCAGCACATATCAGAATTGGAGACGACCATAGAGCAAATGCAAGATAAGATTGTAAGTGATGCCTTTGTCTTGCTTTATTTGTTTATTTTGTCTGGTCATCAGATCACTACACAGTCTACACTCCTAGACAACTTAACTACATGTCAAATTCAATGTCCTCGTAATTGAACTTCCACAGATATTGTCTTTAAAACTCGAATTCTAAACTTAAATCAGCAAAATGACATGTCAAATTCAATGTCCTCGTAATTGAACTTCCACAGATATTGTCTTCTTAAGATACTGCCCAAGAAAGAAAGTGTATTTTAACCTAAATCCTCTATCTTTACGACTGAGTGGTGTCATGATTAGTTCAAACTAAAGCAAGAGATTTTTTCATCTGAGTCTCACGGTGCCTTCTTAAATTATGATAAGAGTAACTGAGAGGCTTTTTTTTTTTTTTTTTTTTTTCAACCTTTATGCTCGCTGACATCGAATATTTTGGCGTGGGATTGGAGACTGTCTTTTGTAGCCCCTTCGTCTCTTCTTTTATATTTGTGTCAGTGTTCTTAGTTGGAACCATATATTTTTTCCTTTCTGCTGGGAAGTGTGCTTAGTTGGAACATTTCCATATCGGTTGATGTTTCATAATGAGTGTTATCCGTAGGTTGCTTCCAAATCTGGACAGGATGAGGGTAGCTGGAGCACCGACGAGAACCTGAATGATAATGTCTCAGAATTCATCCAAGTGAGATGTTCTGTTTCTCTTTACCTTCTTGGTTGTCTTTATTTTCTTGTCCCCATTGCCTTGTAAATCTGCCCTTCACTGTGGGATTGGATCGCTTGGATTGGGGGGGTTTTGATTTTCAGCAGCTTGGGGACTCCCAGAGTTATTTTGTTATTGCAACAAGAGGTTTATTCTATGGTTCCCATTTGCAGAGTGAGAATGATGATGCATTCGAAGATTCAGATTATAATGATAGTGATGAAGAGATCAATTGGGAAGATGAAGAAGATGAAGAGTAAAAGCAAGATTTGGAAAGCACGATTGCTTTTGCAGCGAGGATGGTAGATGACAGAAAGGACTTCAATTGTTAGACAAAAAGACCAGATCTGGTTTTACTTGCGTGACTGCTCCTTATCCAATTCTTTGATTTGATTAGTTAGCTCCGACTTTATGGGATGGACTCGGCAATTTACTTCAAAGACGAACGCCATAGAGAATAAACTAGAAGAGGAAGCTTCTCGGAGTTCATTAGATGTTGGGATGTGCGATGAAATTAGTAAATCTTTGTATTTAGATAGGATGGGGATTATTATCTTCTTTTCGCATGTGAAAGTAAACGCCATGTATTTTATTTGCTCCTCTTTAACATTGTTACTGTAATGCTTAAAGCTTACACTTGTTTTTTTTTTTTTTTTTTTTTTTGCTTGAAAGCTTAAAGCTTACTTTCCTGTAAAAAGGTTGAGAAAGAGATGTTTTACTGTTCACTTTGGCTCGTATAAAATTTTTGGAGAGAAAAGGCTTGAACATATCAGCATTTTGCAATTTTACATTAAAAAGGTAGTTAAGCCTAATAATAATAATATTATTATTATTATCACATATAAAAATGTATATTTATTAGTGCTATAAAAAGATTTAAAGACGCTTACAAGTTTAATAAGCGAGGCCAATTAAGGTTATTAATTTATTCTCCTTTGTGTTACATTTATCTGATATCTTGGATTAGGATTTCCAAGCTGTGGTAGGAAGATCCACCAGGGCCAACACTATCAGTTGGCAATTTACAAATCCCATCAATTGATCTCTCAAACTCAACCCTTTGAGTTTCCATAAATTTCTTCATTGTCCTTTCTATTGTCCACCCATCAGTGGCCTCCAATTCCACCCCAATTCTCCGCTCCTCGCTTACCACCCTACTGGTTACGGTGCAGTCGGCATGTTTAGGTGGCCGACAGATGAGCGGAACTCTGGCCATAATACTTTCCAAAACAGAGTTCCACCCACAGCATTATGGCGTAGCACCCGCTCTTGTGGTGCCCACGCCGCGACGTACCCTGTTTTAGTAGGGCCCATAACAAGCTCTTGAGGAATCACATTCCCATGATCTCCATCCCCTAATTTCCTTTCCTCTTGTTGCTATGAGAGAATTAATTACTAAAGATTTTCTCTATATTGTAAATTCCTGTAATTAGTGTAATATCCTTGTAATTAGTTGCAATTCCCTGATTCTAGGATAGTTTCCTATTTTTGTGTTTTGGGTAACTCTGGGCAATGTCCAATTTTGTGTATAAATATTCTTTCTTAATCAATGGAAAGCAAAGCCATTGTTTTCTCAATATTCTGATCTCTATTTCAACATGGTATCAAGAGCCTAATCCTCTTGGGCGTATTTTTTTTTTTTTTCCAGCAAAACCACCGGTCTCCTCAATGGCTTTTGAAGCGAACCCTCCTTCCACCAACGACCAAACTACGCCATCAGTCTCCTCAATGGCTTCTGATGCGACCCACTCTTCCACCAACGATCCTATCACCATCCAAAACTCTCAGGATCCTCAACATCCCTTCCTTACAATCAATCTCTCCAATATCACCAAATTGTCATCCACCAATTATCTCACATGGAGCCTTCAAATCCAATCTCTTCTTGAAGGTTATGATCTTCATCACTTTATTGCTGGCACTCATACTCCACCACCACCCACCGTCACTGTCAATGGTGTTGCATTCTCAAATCCGGCATACACTACCTGGAAGCGTCAGGATCGTCTCATATTTAGCGCTCTCCTTGGTGCTGTCTCCGTTTCACTGCAACCGCTTATTGCTCGCACCACCACTTCCCTTGATGCATGGCAAACCTTAGCTAATACCTACGCCAAACCATCTCGTGGTCATATTAAACAATTGAAGGAACAACTAAAGCGGTGTAACAAGGGATCAAAATCAATTAGTGAATATATGCAGGCGATAAAGACTCGCGCCGATGAACTTGCTCTTCTGGAGAAGCCCGTTGATGATGAGGATCTTAGTGATCGGGTTCTTGAAGGACTCAGTGATGAGTACAAATCTGTCATTGATGCGATTAATGCCCGTGACACGCCAATTTCTTTTGCTGAACTTCATGAGAAGCTTCTCAACAAAGAAGCATCCCTTCAGACCGCTTAACCATCTTCTCTATCACTACCAGCAACGGCAAATCCCACAGCCTTCCGGAATCGTCCAAATTGGCGTCCACCAGCCACCAATCCACAACAACCAGGCCCTACCTCTACGCTTTCTCGTCATGATCAACGCCAACCCAAACCTTATTTGGGTCGTTGTCAAGCATGTGGCATTCAAGGATACACTGCCAAACGATGCCCGATGTTTCGGCTTGTCACTAATCAACAATCCCCGACACCTCGTCCTCAAGGCTCTCAGGGATATCGCCCCTCCACACCTTGGCAACCACGGGCCAATCATGTTGTTCTTGGCAACAACACTACTCCTACTTGGCTGCTGGATAGTGGAGCATCTCACCACGTTACGTCCGACTTGAGCAATCTCTCTCTTCATAGCCCGTACCAAGGATCTGATGATGTCATGATCGGCAATGGATCGGCCCTTCACATCACCCATCCCGGTTCTACCACCATACCTACTTCCTCTCGCACCTTTACTTTAGAACACGTCCTTTGTGTCCCCTCCATGCAAAAGAACTTAATTTCGATTTATCAATTTTGCACTAATAACCATGTTTCTGTTGAATTCTCACCCTCTGCTTTTCAGGTGAAGGATCTAAACACGGGGCAATCCTTTTGATGGGTGAACCTAAGGATGGCGTATATGAGTGGCCGACCACATCCCCTTCAATTACATCCTCACCGTTGCTTGCTTTTTCCAGTGTCAAGACCACTTCGTCCGAGTGGCACTCTAGACTAGGTCATCCATCTTTTACTATTATGAAAAATGTTGTTTCCAAGTTTTCTTTACCATTGTCTAATCCGTTATCCTCTTCCACACATTGTAATGCCTGTTCATGTAATAAAAGTCATAAAATTCCATTTTCTTCTTCTACCTTAACCTCATCTCATCCACTTGAACTTCTCTTTTTTGATGTATGGACCTCTCCTGTTTATTCTGTTGATGGGTTTCAGTACTATGTTATTTTTGTTGATCATTATACCCGGTACATTTGGTATTATCCACTTAAACGGAAATCCCATGTGTATGATGTCTTCGTGCGCTTCAAGGCATTAGTCGAAAACCAATTTAAGCACCGAATTGTTACCCTCTTTCAGATAATGGTGGCGAATATAAAGCTCTTGATAGTTTTCTCTCCACCAATGGTATATCCCATCTTACTACACCACCCCATACACCAAAACACAATGGTCTTTCCGAATGACGTCATCGCCATATTGTTGAAACCGGTCTATCCCTTCTCACTCATGCATCGATGCCTCTAACCTATTGGACTTATGCCTTTGCCACTGCTGTATATCTTATCAACCGTATGCCCACACCCACACTACATCTTTCATCTCCTTTTGAAAAACTCTTTGAGTCAAGATTGGCGTATCCTCTGGAGCTCCATCTTGAGGGGGCATATTAGAGAATTAATTACTAAAGATTTTCTCTATATTGTAAATTCCTGTAATTAGTGTAATATCCTTGTAATTAGTTGCAATTCCCTGATTCTAGGATAGTTTCCTATTTTTGTGTTTTGGGTAACTCTCGGCAATGTCCAATTTTGTGTATAAATATTCTTTCTTAATCAATGGAAAGCAAAGCCATTGTTTTCTCAATACTCTGATCTCTATTTCAACAGTTGCATCAGATCCGGCCGTACAACCAATAAAAATGGATAGCCACTATTGATTAGAGGCGTGCCAAAACTCCAGGAGTTGGTGATACGTAGTTTGCATTGTGCTTCCAAAGTTGACGTAAAGGACTGATTTCGAAGGCTGCGAATCCAACCACGCTAGGCAGCTCTCCTCCTCTTTCCAAAGACTGCTGTTGGAGCGATAACTAGTCGCCCCGGCGACAACGTGAAGAGGTCCAACTGTGTATAATTTGCCAAAGAGATGGCCGAGATTAGGAATAGATACGTCGTCAAATGAGAAATATCAACCACTTGATGTCCATCCGATGCATGCACTATGGTTATTTCGTATTTCCCTTTTTCTTTTCGTATGATTTTACTTACTATACCCGCCGATGTAACATTATAAACATTATTGTTACTCTTGCTCCCGTCGTGATAAATCTGACCACTCCGTCAGGATAAAGCTCGAAGCATGAAACCTCAAATGAGAGATACGGCGTTGAGAATGAGACCTGAAGCTCGAAATTGAAGCCTAGGGTGACTATGTTTTGACGTGAAAAAGAAAGGTAAGTCATCTGATCTTCGCAAAAGGCCTTCCAACCCACCAGGCACACTGTTAAATGATTCTTCATTCATGTCATCTTCATCTGCACGTCATGAAATATATTTCTCTTCACTCATGTCATCCAAATTCACTTATATTGAATTTGTCTTTTATTTTATCTCGCTTTAATGAAGATCCCTCAAGTTTTCTAATTATCACCCTTGCACATATTTTTTCAAAGAAATTTCAATTATACCTTTTATTTTGACTCTTAAATATAATATTAATATATCAAATAAACAAAAAAAAAAAAAAAACAACTATACTACATAAATTTATAAGAATCTAAGCTTTAAACATAAAATTTAATTATATTACAAGTTTAGTTTAAACAAAATTACAAATAGATAAATTAAGGTAAAAAAAAAATTTATTTCCTTATAATTTTAGTTAAAAATTTTGGTTTAATTCACGCTCTCTAGAAAAAGTTTCCTGACTCCGCCACGGAACACACGTATATATGTTTGCATGTTTGTTACCTAACCTGCAAAAGGAAGCACGCCTTTTCCGACAAGGTTGGGGAGAGCGCTCCGGTGTCGGCCAAACGGCGGTGGTTTTGGTGGGTGTTCACGAAGGTGACATGGAGGCCTGCTTGGCTGAGAAACTCTCCTAAACATAACAAGGGCTTGATAACCTTGAGTTGGGAAGGGAAATATTACTACGTGAGGTTGTTGAACTAGCTGATCATCCATATTTTAGGCCTTGTACACGAAAATGTAGAGCACAAAATCAAGGGGATTAGTCCCAATATATAAATCTCACTAAAAATTGTAACTACTTTGATTATTTGTGCAATAATGCTTAAAATATTCTATAGATCATGCTTTTGGGAAGAAAAAAAAAAAGAAAAAGAATGACAAATGTGAAAGAAAAAAAATGCCCCAATTAAAAAAATAGAGAATTTATTTTTAAGAGTGCATGAGTGTAGGCCTTTATCATTTACTCTAAATTAATACCTTTTTGTTAGTGTAATTATTTGATTAA